TTTAAAACTAAGTAAATATGCAGTCTACAGGGACCTCTATGTATGGTTAAGGGGCCCAGTTTTTATTTGATTTGACACTACTGTCCTGAACAAAGAAGAGTTGGCTGTCCAGCTATTGTACAGGGTTGGGGATGCCCTGACTGAGAATGTTGTTCTCGGATTCATAGAAACTCAGATGGAAAGAGAAGAAATTTAGAGTCAGAAGGCCTGGGCTCAAATCTTAGTTCTGATCATTATCCCTTCTGGCTTTAGTGTCCTCATCTGTCAAATGAGGGGGTCCCTCAGTTAGAAGGGACCTGAGAGGTAGATCATCTAGTCTATATTTTTCATTCTATGGATGAGGAAACTGAGACCCGAAGAGGTGACATAACCCAAGGTCAAATTTCCAGTAAATGTGTTCTAACACAGACCCTCAGAGGAAGCCAAATCTAGTGGTTTCTCCAAATCTCCACCGTTACTGACACCTCCTAGAAAGCCACATCCTCGGGGCGCTTTCTTTTGGGCAGCAGTTACTTGCCTGCAACATTGGTTGGTGGTGATTAGACCCATTGCATTTCTTAGCTTGGTCTGGATCCAGCCAACATCCTGGCTAGCGTCCACACTTGTTCCATTACCACACAGGGCTCTCCAAATTGCCTTACTTGTTAGGGGTGGGGTGAGGGGGTGCGGCACAGATCATAGGATCTCTGGATCTTTGTAGATTCAGAACCCAAAGATATCTCTGAAGACATCCCCACAATTTGGAAGAAAGGAGAGATGACTGGAGGTCAAAGCCTCATCAGCTGTACCTGGGCTCCCTGGTTCAATAGGCCTATTTAAATTCCCCTCCCCCCAACACCCCCCTCCCCCAGCAGCCCTCTCTTCATCTCTTTCTGCCACCAGGGCTCTAGTCTTTTCCTCCCTTCCACCCAGGAGACACCCCCCCCCTCCAGCCCAGGCCTTCTTGTTCCTTTTTCTCAAAAGCCCTAAAAATAAAGCTCTGAGAACACAGTTATTCTGGTCCTGCTGCTAAACTGAGCCCTGGGAAAGGAAGGAGTTCTCAAGTTTCCTGGCTGGGCCCAGCAGAGAAAGCAAGGACAGAAAGCCAAGCAGGAAGGGGGAGGAGGCACTGGGTCCTCACTTAGCCCAAGAAACAACCTGGATTTCTGATGCTGAGGAGGTGGGGGAGGGGGAAGAGATCAGTTATGTCATGGTCTCAAATGAGGAACAGCCAAGTAAGTGGATCTTGGAGCTGCATCACCTCAGCCAATATCAGCTGTTCCCAGACCCTCTTGTCCTAGTCACCAACCCCTAACTGTGCAGGGTTTGGTCCCCAGAACCCAGAAGTAGCATTAATCATGAACATTGCAGAGAATACTGCTCAGGTACGGGTTGTACTAAATGACCTCTGGGGCACATTTCCCCACGGGGATGCTAGTTCCATAAGCTCCTCGGGGGTTCCAGTGAGGCAGCTCCTAGACTTTGTGGCAGTAACTGACCTCATGATGACTCGGTGCCCTGATACCCTGAAGAAGTTACTGCCTCTTCCTGAGCTCTTCCCTCTTTCTCCAGGAGTCTGTCACCTGGCAGGGTCAGGCTTACAATGGAATTCCAGGAGAAAAAGGGTGCAGCGGGAGAAAAGGCGGAGAATAGGGGCTGAGGAGGAGAAGGACCCAATGAGAGGCAAGAGAAGCATCTGAGAAAGGGGTCCTAGGAAGAAAATGCCTTTGAAGGCAGGGAACAGCTTCCAAAGCTGAACCCTGTAAACCCTTCCCCAAAGTATTTTCTTCTCTCCAGCTGCTACAAGCCTAAACCTGATCTTCAAGAAGATTGGACCATTTCCCTTGACTCTCTGGGCTCCCTCAGGGAGACTTTCTCTAGAATACCCCAATCAAGAACAAGCCTATCTAACCCAACCCAGCAATGGATTAATAACAAGATGCTGTTTTCTGTAAGCAAGAGGGAACCAATTTGTCCATCAGCTATGTGAAATTTGAAAGTGAATGGTGGGGTTGTGGGGAACGCTTTGTATGGCCGTTGACTTAAGCAGGAGCCCATTTGCCCTAGGGACAAAGGTGTTATAGACAAGAATGTGCCCCTGGGTGTTGGGGATTAGTATTTGAACTTCTGTTCTTGCCATATTTTCTCAATAAATATCTCTTTATTAAAGGTAATTGATGTTAATTGGTTTAATAATACTAGGGTGCTGACCATGGGGTTAGTCAATTATGTTAAAGAGACACAAATTTTAACCATCAATTGATATTGGGGAGAACACACTCAAATGTGGACCTGAGCCTATAGCCCCAAAGATATCCTTAGAAACCTGAGGGGAATATGGGAAACTGACTTGCTTGTGAGAGTGGGGTTTGAGATAAGGAATTACAGGGTCTACAAAGGCTAAACCTTTAAATTCTTTATACCTTTGACATGAATTATCTTTTCAGACTCACAGTGTATTACTGCCCTTCCCTTTCTTCCTCTCACCTCACCTTCACACTGGCTTTGCCCCATGCTTAGAATGCAGACATTATCATCTCTACCTTAAAGAATCCTACTTGTCCTTCAAGACATTACTCAAGCACCATCTTCCACATGAAACCTTTCCTGATCTCCTCTCACGTTAGTGCCCTCCCATCCAAATTACCTTGCATTTAACTACATTGTATTTTGTTTCATTTATTTTCTTTATATTTATTCTGTATATACATATATACATATAGAACTTACGTATATGTGTATAATGCATACATACACATAGCACGCACACACACATGCAAGGTCTTCCAAAAGTCTCGAAACTGCATAAAGACTTTTGGGACATGCACACACACACACACACACACACAGAGTCTAAGTAGCTGGGTGACGACCTCAGGCAAATCATTTGACTTCTCAGCCTTAGCTTCGGCCATCTGGACAAAAGAGAAAATAATGTGTTGTTGTGAGGACTAAAAATAGTGTATGTTAAGTGCTTCATAAAACTTAAAGCTCTATATAAATGCAAGCTATTATGTTATTATTATATAATATATTATTGTATTACAAATAATTATTACTAATTATGATATATCATTACTTATGTTATTATTATTAGTCTCTTTGAAGCTTCTCTGGTGTTCCATCACTTTGAAGGACAGGTCATCCTCAGGGTTTCAGTGGGAAAGACTTTCCCCATAATGTCCTCTTGCACAGCTGAAATGCCCTTCCCCCTTAGAAAAGCACTAACCCGTCAGAAGAACTGGGTCCAAGCCTTACCTCCCAACGCTTTAACTAGACATGTGATGGTAGACAGATCACTTAACTTCTCCCTTCTCCTCCCCCCATTAGTAATAATTAGTAGTAATATGAATTAGCAATAATACTGACAATAATAGCTAAAATGTATATATCACTTTAAGATTTGTAAGGCTCAATTAGAATAAAATTTGAGAGCTGAAGAGACCTCAGCAACCATTTAGTCTGATTCATACATGAAAGGAACATAGCCACCCCAAAACATGGCCATTCGACCTCTGCTCAAAGACAAACAAGGAGGCAAAGTGACTTCTGAGACAGCCCATTCTACTCTGGGACATCTCTAATTGCTAGGAAGTTTTTCCTGATCTCAGGCCTGAATTTGTCTCTTTGCAACTTTTCACCCATGGCTCAGGATCTAGGCCAACCCCTCCCTCCCATATAGTAGCCCTTCAGATACTTGATCATTCTACCACCCACTCAGCCCTCCCCTCAATCTTCTCTTCCCCAGGTTAAATATCCCCATCTCCTCTAACTAATCTTCATATGCCATGGACTAAAGGCCCTCCACCATCCTCATTTCTTTCCCCAAGCCTTCTCTACCTTATCAATGTCTTTAAACTGTACTGCCCACAACTGAACACAATGCTCCTAGATAAGGTCTAAAGAAGGCAGGGTATGACGGACTGCCTCCTTGTCCTTGGAATCTATGCCACTTTTCATGTAGCCTAAGCTAATCAAGTTAGGTAGCTTGGCTGGCACATCACTCTGCTGACTCACGTTAAGCTTGCAGTCCAGTGAAACCTCAAGATCTTTTTTCAGGCCAGCTGTAGTCTAACTATGCCTCTACCATCTTGTACTTGTGAAGTTGGGGGATTTTTGTACCCGAGTATATAACTTTACACTTATCCCCATTAAGTTTAATCTTATTAGATTCAGACTAATGCTCTGGTCTACCAGGATCCTTTTAGATTCTAACGGCCATATATGTAAGCCATACCTTCCAGCTTTGTGTCATCTGCAAATCTGATGAGCATCCCACGCCTTTGTCCAAGTCACTGCTTAAAAATATTAACAAGCACAGAGCCAAGGATAGATTGCCTTTCCTCTAGAGACCTCTGCCTTGTTGACATTGAACCATTAACAACTACTCTTTGAGTCCAGCCATTCCACCAGTACTGAAACCATCTTGCCGTGTTATCATCCAATCAGCATCTCTCCATCTTCTCACAAGAATAATATGATGTACTTCATCAAAAACTTTACTGCAATCTAGGTAGATTATAGCTAAAGAATTCCTCTCATGTACCATTTTACTAGCTCTACTGAGAGAAAGAAATAGCATTAATCTGGCATGACTTGTTTTCGATGAACCCATGCTGGCTGTTTGCATTGCAGTTAAGAAACCCATCTTCATGGGCTTATCTTCAGACAGAAATCTGTGAAGTAGACAAGGTATCTCCATTTGGAAATGAAGAAATTAAGGTTTAGAAAAGTTATGGGCATAATAGGGGAACTGGCCAATGAGGACTTAGTCCTTAAAATATGTCCCTGCCTGATTTCAGTCCTTAGAGTATCCTCTACTTGCTTCCAATCCAAACACAAAGAAACTTTGGTGAGTCTCCTTTTGACCATGAGTGGCTGAGAAGTTGGTATTAGGTGATGATAGAAAAAAACATTTTAATTGGCTTTAGAGCAGGAAGAACTGATTTCTCAGGAGTTTCAGAGCCAAAACTGAATGTGAATACAGAGGGATTGCCCACCTGTCTCTTCTTTGGTGGCTTTGAGTGAGAAAGGGCTACCCTGATTGAGGCTCCTTGTGCATAAGTATATGACATCTCTCTTTCTTTTGCATTTGTTCTTTCCTGATTTTAGATGAATGAGTATTCCAAGAGGGGAGCACCCAGGTAGGTGTATACGTTTGGGAAATCCTTCCTGAAACCAGCAAATAAATGTGTCAGAAGTATCTGCCACAGCGATAGTGACTAATAAAAGACAGAGCCCTTAAAGACAAATGTGGAAAGATGGTCACCTGAGGATGGTGGCAACTTCATGGATTGGGACCCCTTGTGATGGAGAAAATCCCAGCTATGCTCTGGAAAGGCAATGATCCTCAGAGTCCAGCAGAAGACTACACCAAGGGGGAACTCATGAGGACTCTATGAAGAGAGAAAATGACTTCTAGGCCCAGAAGCTGGGATGCACCCATTAGCTTCAGGTGATCTTTATACATATATACATACATACATACATACATACATACATACATACATATACATACATAGATACACACATACATACATACATACATATACACATATACGTATACACACATATCCATATATGTACACACATATGTGTATATATGTATACGTGTGCACGCATATTATGTGTATGTATATGTATGTGTGTATATATATATATTCATTCAATATATTCATATATAAATATAGATTCACTTGCCTTAGGTCACCTGGGTTTTCTGTATCCCCTTACAGTGCTAAATTGGAATTCATTGTCCATTGTCTTCAAACCGGCAGTTTGTTACAGTTGGGTCCCAACACCTTGGGCTCCAAAACCTGCCATTTGAGGTTATGTCACTAGAGGGAGCTCCAGGACAAGCGCTGAATAGTTGAGTTATCGACCTGCATTTGGGTGGCACCACTTTTTTTTTTCCTGGTTCAGGGTTTCTTAATCTGAAATCTATTCATTTTTTAAAAATATATTTTGATAACTGTATTTACATATGGTTGATTTCCCTTGTAATTCTATGTGTTTTATTTTATGCGTTTGAAAATATTATTCTGAGAAGGGGTCTTTAGGTTTCCCCAGACTTCTGAAAGGATTAAGAATTCTTGCTGGATCTGGTCCCTGTTGTGGCTGATTTGGGGCAAATTCTCAGAATTTCAGGGCAGTCTAGCCCATTCATTTAACCAACGCTGCTCTTTGGATTCATCCACTCCTACCCCTCCTTTGCTGAAACTCAGTCTCTGGAAGGGGTAGGAGGATTAATGGTGGACACCTGCAGTAGGTGAACTAGAGCTCATTCTGATATCTCCTCACCCCACCACCTCTCTCCAGTGCCTGCATATTCAAAACAGGAGCTTCCTAGAAGAAGGAGCAGGGTTAGGATGAATGGGTGAGGAGGCTTTCTGTGAGATGTCCCTTTTTCTGAAGGTCTTATGGCCAATAATTCGCAGATGGTATTTTTGGGGCAGAGTGGCACCTTCATGGAAGAAGAGGGAGAGTGCACACCAGGCTCCCACGACTCCTTGTGCTTGCTGTGGTGATGTACCCATTGCCCAGTGGGGTTCATGTGTGAGGTGGAATTAAGGAGAAAAATCCCTGGGAAAAGTGCTTCTAAGAGCCATGGAACTGAAAATAAGGAGGAGAAAGCTGCCAGCTACCCTGAACTGTGTAGTTAAAAGCAGGTGTCCTGACCAGGATAGCCTTGGAGAGGCAGCTTGATATAAAGTATACTAGATCAACCCTGATATAAGTGCCATTAGTACCTCCCATTTTATAGAGGAGAAAACTGAGGCTGGGAGGAGATAAATGACTTGCCTGGGGGTCCTGTCAAAGGCAGCATTTGAACTCAGGTCTTTCTGATTCCAATTTTAGTACTCCACTATAACTATGTCGTTTCTCTAAAGAGAGAGGGTTTTTTTGTTGTTCAGTTGTTTAAGTAGTGTCCAACTCTTTGTGACCCCATTTGTAGTTTTCTTGTCAAAGATACTAGAGTAGTTTGCCATTTCCTTCTCCAGCTCATTTTACAGATGAGGAAACTGAGGCAAACAGGGTTAAGTGACTTGCCCAGGGTCACACAGCTAATAAGTGTCTGAGGCCGGATTCAAACTCAGGAAAATGAGTCTTGCTGACTCAGGCCCGGTGCCATCAATCTGCTGTGTCACCTAGCTGACCTAATCTCTATTGCCCCTTCTCTCCATCTTGACCTCACCTCTTGTAGGGTTCCTATGGTAGTATTTGCTAGACTTCAGCCTACCCTTCTTTCTCCTTTGTGCTACCCCATTCAGAGGCACCTAGATGGTGCAGTAGATAGAATATTTGGCCTAGAGTCAGGAAAAATTGAGTTCAAATTTGGCTTCTACATTTCCTAGCTGTGTGGCCCTGGGCAAGTCACTTAACATGTCTGCCTCAGTTTCCTCAAATGTAAAATAGGGATAATAATAGCACCTACTTCCCAGACTTGTGACAATCAGATCAAATAATAATTGTAAAGCACCTGGCACACAATAGGCTTGACCTAATCCTCCCCTCCCCCATGGAGACTTGTAGGCTTTATGTTGTAATGATAAGGAGAGTCCCGGCCTCACTTCTGCCACTCCACCCTAACCAGTCCTCAGCTTGCTGAGTTATTAAGTGGGTACATTAAACTAGACAATTAACTTTTATCTTATTCTCCAGCTCTAGAATTCTACAAGTCTGATTAACTCTCAGCAAGCAAGCAAGGTGTCTGATAAGCCCAGAGGTCAAAGGTGAAGGAACTCCCTCCACCAACCCACCTAGAGCTTAGTAGGCACTTACCTGAGACTCAAGAGATTGAGTGACTTTTGCCCATGGTCACAAAGCTTGTGAATGTCAGAGGAGAGAATTGAACCCACAGCTTTCTGAATCCAGGTCCAGTACTCTCTGCCACACTGCCTCAGAATTATAACTCACCTTTATAAGACTGTCTTCCAGGTTGACAGAGTATTTGTCTGACAACTGATCCCTCCTGAAAGCCTAGAGGGTCAGGTGAGTATTGCGCGTCGTTGCAGAGTTTTAAGGGGTTTAGGAGATATCTGAGAATGCCCTACAGATGCCCTTCATTGTCTGAGCAGAACTCCTTTCTATAGCCCTGACCTTGAAGCTTTCTGTTAGTTCAATGGGAGTTGAGCCATGCAGCCTCTAGGTGGCCAAGTATTACCAGGGCTGCTGAGGCGGTGACTACGCCTGGAGAATTTCTCCTTATCCCACAAATTTTTACCCACTTGGGGCAATAGGGCGGGAGGCAGGAGGGTGGATTTAGCTTGTGTTCCCTTCCATTTGTGGCTTCCCAATCTGACACCGCAGCTCCTGCTTTTAGCTCTCCTTTCCCTTCCACAACGTGAACAAAATACACTGTACAGCTCAGAAAAAAAATCCATCATTTTGTCAAAACATTTCCATGACAAAAAAATTCCCTTCCAATCTTCTCTCTGGCCTTTGTGCTTCAGTCTCATTTGCATGAGAAAAAAAACTGTCAGAGAGATGAGTAACATGGGAGAGAGGGAGGGAGAAAGAAGGCTGAAACTGGATATGCTCTGCCTGATGTCTTTGCCTCTGTTTAACTCGGTCGTGCTGGGAGCCTGATATAGATACGGATGCAAAGCTGGAGAGAGGCTTGGAGTTATCCTATAATCTAACCCTTTCATTTTTCAGATGAGAAAACTGAGGCCCAGAGAGGGGAAAGGATTTGCCTCACACAAATATTTTACAGCAGAACCGAGGTGGGAGCTTGGGACCCAGTTGTTTACCCAATTTTAGCTCATTTGTGCCTGTGGTCAGTGCATAGGCCCAAATAAAAGAAACCATTGGATAAGGCATCTAGCTATGTCTGGGTCTCTTCCTTATATGGTTTATATCAGCCCAACCCCTGCAGTGTTGGTCCTGGCATAGCTCAACAGCACATACAAACTGCTACTATGTTTCTGGCAAACAAAAAGACAAGAGTCCTGGGGGAAGATAAAGGAAAATGACCCAAGAGAAAACTTGAAAAATTAAACCCAATGGAAAGAGCCAATGGACCAGGGAAGTTCAGAGTGAGTGCCATGACCCCATGGCCCGAAGTCCCTCAAATGTTCCTTTAAAAAGAGTCAGTGTTGGAAAGGAAGCCTTTGAGAAGAATATTTCCACAAAGGCTTCCAGGACTGGGACGATTTTTGCTTGGCTTCATAGCCAATGGCAATAATTGGTCAGGTATCAGGTTTCAAAATTTGGAAGAAAAAAGACCAAGATATGTCAGGTAGGGCCAAATCACGGATATACTTGTCCTCCAGTCACTTTGGGCACTAGATTTGACTGTCAGGTGGCATCCTGGAGAAGTTAACTTCTGGGACATTTGCCTAGTATATCTTCTCAGTCCTAGATGAACACAGATGAATAGGTGCATGAGTTAGGTCCTGGAGCCCAGCTGTTCATCCAGGCAGCTACAGCCATGAGAATAAGTGAGAGTTTTAACAGTGCTCTATTGTCCTGGTGTGGACAGCTTGCTGTGAGTTAACTGGTGTAACTGCCTGAGAAATTTCTTCCTTTATTACTATGTTGATGGACTAATGGATTTACAGAAAGGCATTGACAGCCTAACTTTCCCCTTTCTTTTCCCATACAGAAGGAGGTCTGTCTTGGAGAACAGAAGACTTGGATTGGGGTGACGATGTAATAACTGTCTTCAAGTATTTGAAAGGCTGATGTATGGATGAAAGGAGAGAGTAGACTTGTTCTGCGTGGTCCCAAAGGATAGAACTAGAAACAATGGGTGGAAAATACAAAGAGGCAGATTTGCATTTGATGTCCAGAAAAAAATTCCAGACAGAGATGTTCAAAAGTGGAATGGGCCACCTAAAGAGGGAGTGAGCTCCCTCTTCTTGGATGTATCCAACCAGAGGCTAGATAGTCATTTGTCAGGTAGGTATGTTTCAGTGGGTACTCATTTTGGGGTATGGGGTGGTCTAAGTGGAGGCTGAAATTCTGGGGTTGTGGGTGCAGCAGAAGACTCACAACCTTCTGTAACAGGGGATTGGTAAAAGCTGAGGTGGCTTGCTTGGGTCATGGGAATGGCTTTTATAATTTGTATCACCTTAATTTTATTTAACACATCTCTGCTAATCTAACGAAACTATTGTTTAACCATGACAACATCTAGATCTGGAAGGAACAGGAATGACTGCTAAATGGGGATTGAGTCATGGAAGGAAATATAACTATTGATATATATATTCCTAGACATAGAACCTAGATCATAACAGAATGGGGAAAGAGTGTGGAACAACTGAGGACCACCTGTCCCATGAACCCAGCTACTACTGACAGGGTAAACTTGTTACGTGTCATTTAACAGTAAAATAGAAATTCCCTCCTGACTCCCTTACTGAGACACTAAGTCACTTTAACCTCTCTGTGCCTCAGTTTCCTCATCTGTAAAACTAGGGGGTTGGACTTGGTGACCTTTCTAGCCTTAAATCTATGGAGCAAGTTAGAGATCTCCTGACTTCTCTGAAATACCACTGTAGCCCTGAAGCCAACCTCTAACAGATGAGTGATTTCCTGTCATTCGGTTTCATTCCCTTCTCTTCTCGTCTGATCAGAGATGTGTAGAAATTCACCTTTCCTTTGATGAGGGATATGTTATGGTGAAATAATTTGTGGAATCAATCAATCAACAAGTCTTTATTAAACAATTATTCTATGGCAGGTACTGGGGATACAAAGATAAAAGCGAAATCCTCTCTACCCCCAAGAAGATTGTGTTCTATCAGGAACATGGGCATACGTAATTCCATAATAAAAGCTAACATGCATATAGTGCCTTTAGTTTTGCAAAATGTTTTTACAAATATACATTCTTATATTATTACATATACATATGTAAACATAAATAATATATGGAGATAAATCTTTCCATTGATTCTTTTTTCAAATGTATAGTATTTATATATACATATATATGAGTATACATACATATACACATTTGCATATATATTTAAACATATATACACATGTATGTATACAAATATGCACATATGCAGAGAGATAAGATAACTTCATTTAATCTTCACAACAATCCTGGGAGGTACATACTCTTATTATCTTCATTTTACAGAGAAGAAAACCAAGGCAGGCAGAGGTTAAGTTACTTGTCCAAGATCATTCAGCTCACAAATGTATGAAGCAGTATTTAAACTTAGATCTTGCTGATTTCCAGTCAAGCACTCTAACCCATGGCATCACTTAGGTGTAGATATAGAAAATATATACACCCAAAGCGCAATGCTTGGGATGTACAACCTAGCAGCTTGGCAGGTCAGGAAAGACCTCATATAGGAGGTGATGTAATCTGAGCTTTGCAGAGAAGTAGGGATTCTAAAAGGTCAGTGACAAGAAAGAAGGCATTCCAGGCATAGTGAGGACCTGCATGAAGGCGCTGAGATTGAAGACAGAAAGTTTTGTTTAACGAATGCTAGAAAGACCAGTTTGGCTGGACCACAGAGGGCTGGAAAAGGACTAATGTACAATAGGAATACAAAGGTAGGTCTGAGCCAGGTCATAAAGAGTTTCAAGTGCTGGCCAGAGGAGTTTGTAGAGATAACAGGGAGCCACTTAAATGTTTTGAATAAGGGAGTGAAACAGTCAGACCTGTGCTTTAGGTAATTCACTTTTGTAACTCTGTAGAAGATGGCCCTGAAGTCAGGAGGACCCGAGTTCAAATCCAGCCTCAGACCAAACACTTGATACTTACTAGCTGTGTGACCCTGGGCAAGTCACTTAACCCCAATTGCCAAAAGCAAAAAAACAACAAAAAAAACCCCAAAAAAACAAAGAACAAACAACAACAGCTAGTTCTAGGGACATATTCTATACTTAAAAATACCCTGATACTTTCTACCCCAAATATTTTCCCAATTGAACACTGGTATTAATGTAAATCCCATATTTCCCCAACGATCAGGAGAGATAATATTTTTAAAGTACTTAGCACAATGTCTGGTATACAGTAGGCACTTAACAAGTTCATTCCCCCTTTCCCTTCCCCAAGAAAAATGTTGTGAAGAGGCCATGCTCTAGTATAGAGGTGTCAAACTTGCATCCAGGGAAACAGCCAGCAAGACTACAGAGGATAGCCCAAACCAGATTAAAATGCAATTGGGAAATGTCTAACAAAATAAGTAAAAATACAGTACAACATAGATGATGTGAATTTGTGGTTTTCTAAGCGAATATGGCACCCACAGGGATCCATTGCTATTTGAGTTTGACACCACTGCCAGCGTATGGTCCACAACAGTGGTCTTGCTTCTTTCTACTCCTTCTATCGATTCCTAAGTATTTGGAGGGACACTTGAATGGTAATAATGTACTGTGTACTGAAAGGAGCTCAGGAGTCAGTAGGTATAGATTCTAATCCCAGTTATGCCAATAATTAGTTGTGCAAATGACTTCACCTTTCTTGCTCCTTGGTTTTCTTTTTCTGGAAAAACAGAGCCAATTATGCAAGCCCTTCCTGCCTCCTAGGGTTATTGGGAGAATCAAATGAAATACTACCTTCTCTCCCTCTTCCCCTCTTGTGGCCTGCTGAATTCTTCCTATCCTTTAAAACCCTTAAACGTTCACTTCCTCCATGAAACCATCTCCAATTCAGTTGGTAATGACTTTCCCCCCTTGGGCCTCATATACTACATTGTTTTTTCACCTATCAAATGCATTTCTCATGTAATATTTCCAATTACACAATCAGGAAGACCAGAGTTCACATCCTACTTCTGACACCTGCTAACTGAGTAACTCTGGCAAGTCACTTGGGACTCTCTTTGCCTCAGTTTTCTCATCTGTAAAGTGAGGGGGTTGGTCCCTCCCAGCTCTAAATCTTTCATTCTGTTTGTGTCTTGTCATCCTCTGACATTCAATAAGGACGGGGACTTGGTTAACCTTGGTCCCTTCCTTTGCAGGGTCCCTCTTTTTCCAAAAAAAAAAAAAAGGCAAGTGACTCTCATCATTAATATTATTACTAATCTTCCTTGACCAGTACCTCCCAGACTCCCAAAGCCTTCCTGCACCAAACCCTCAGCTAGCTCAAAGAAAGATTTCAGTTCTTGGGGACAGTGCAGTTGAGAATTCCATTAGGAGGGAGTCAGCCTAGCCTCTAGGGAAAGGCAATAAGCAATAAGCTTCCTCTTAGCTCATTTGCTAGCCCATGCATGCGGAGGAGCGCTATGTGCTCCCAAGTGGTCCCAATTTCCTGGATTATATTTTTTGGCAGCCTGAGCAGACATGGCTGATTCTCCTTTCATCAATTAATACCGTGTGCCCCCCCCCAAGTGTCAAATGCCCACAGTCCCAGAAGGCAAAGCATGATGTGATAGCCACGAACACAAAACACAAGAACCTCTGAACCTAGAAGGGCAGCTTTAATGGTTTTTTTCCCTCCCCTGCCAGGGCTGGCCAGGCTACAGTGCAGAGATTGGTCCTTATCAGTCCCCTCACCCACTCCTCTGAAAGTCTACAGAAGACTATGAAAAAAAATGGAATTTAGATACTAACAGGATGTGATACTAACCCAGCTAGTTAGACTGGTCAAATGGTTGTGGAAATTGGTCAAGACTTGTTGGAAGCATATGGACCACTCACAACCAAGTGAATGAAATTGATTTCACTGATCTTCTTTTTCTTCTCTAAGGTTTTATTTGTTTTACTGACTTTTCACTCAGAATGTGGAATCTGCGTGTTGGGAAATGACCCGAGAACTTATTCCAGGGCCAGTATAAGCTGTTGTTGTTCAGTCGTATCTGACTCTTTGGGCACATTTGGGGTTTTCTTGGCAAAGATACTGGAGTAGTTTTCTATTTGCTTCTCCGGCTCATTTTTACAGAAGAGGAAATGAGGCAAACAGGATTAAGTGACTTGCCCAGGGTCACACAGCTAGAAAGTGTCTGAGTTCAAATTTGGACTCAGAAGATGAGTCTTCCTGGCTCCAGGCCCGGGGCTCTGTGCTCTATGGCACCACCTAGCTTCCCTTAAGACTAGTTGACGGCTTAAGACTAACATGGTAAACAGCTGAAGTTTGTTTTGGAGTCCTTCTGTTCACCTCTCCCCTTCTGTGCCTCCCTCTCCCCTCATCCAAAGTACCTACCCACCCACTGAGGCCCTTAACCTCCCCAGGTAGGCTGGTAAATATTTAACAATTAGCTCTCTGGGGGATAAAATACAATTTCAAGCTTAATGCGCATTGTTAAGATTTTCTCCATTACTTTTTGAAGTCAAGACCTAATTTGTAAGGTTTTCTGATTTCTGAGATGTGAATGCTCACACTGAACATTTAATAATCAGCTTTTATAAGGCTTTTCAAATTGGATCCAGTAGGTTCCTGAGTCACCCCCCCCCCATCCCAGTCCAATCCTCTTCTTCCACCTCCCCCACATTCAAACTTACCTCTTCTCTGACTCTTCCCTCCAGGGCCCTTTTAAAGGGTGGGGTGGCTAACAGAGTACACTAATTTATGCTAAATAGCCAATAATGGCAGGTTGTAACATCCTTCCCAGGTAAGGGAAGTATTTATTTGCCTTGTGAAGACAGTGTCTTGACCCAAAGGAGTAGGAATTTCAGGCACTGTCAGGCCAGAGAGAGATGTACAGGGGCACATGGATGTCTCAGTGCTCTGCCCTACACAGCACACTATTACAGTCAGGGAAAGGCAGAATTGGAAGGGAGCCTTAAAGATCTTCCAAAAACAAGGATTCTTAACCTTTGCTATGTCATGGCGCCCTTTGGAAATCTGGTGAAGAAGCCCGTAGACTCCTCAGAATAATACCTTTAAAAATCTGAAGAAAATTTCCAATAGAGGTTAATGAAAAGACAGCTTTTCCCCATCCGAGAAAGATCCTCTGAAATTTATGAACCATAGACTGAGAACCTCTGATCTAATCCAGTCTGACCATTTTACAGATGATAAAACTGAGGCCCAGAGAAGAAAAATAATTTTCCTACGGTCATTTATGTATTACGTTAGTAGCAAAGTTGGAACTAGCATCTAGGTCTCCTTAATGCCAATTGCGTGATCTTTCCACTAAATCTCTTATTAAATACCTCTCATTAAATGATTTGTTATTAGTTCATTTCCATTATAAGACTGTCTACCTTGGTGGGGGGAGGGGGCAATGAGAGGAAATCAAGAAAAGTCAATAAGAAGTGGAGAATGCAAGAGAAGGTTAGGGGAAGGGGCTGGGGTTGGAGGAGGTAAGGGCTTATCTAGCTAAGAAGAACCAATCCACAGGCATCTCAGGCAGTGGCTTGTGCTGATTGGCTAGCTTCCCTATGACTTCACAGTCGCCTAACAATGAAGAATTCCAAACAGACAGTAAAGAAATGGGTTTGGTAAGAATAGAGCCAGAAGAACATTCAAGGGGTAAGGGAGGAGGAGAGACAGTCAAGGGAAAGGGGTGCAGCCTTGGCAGGGGCCATGAAGACTCAGGAGGAGGAAGGGGGCCAAGGCAACATCTACCATAACCACTAGGCTCCGTGATTGGAGGAGGAGCTCATGTCTCACCAGTGAACTAAGGAGAGTAGGGTCTGGTACTGGGGACAAAGGAAGAATCAGAAAGAAGAGGAGCAAAAAATCTGAAAAATCCAAAGAAAGTCGAAAAGGAAGAGGAAAACCTAGACCATGCCCCTAGGTCATCCCAGCAGGTAGCGATGCCTTTAGCCATATGTCTATCTCATATATTCACTGCTCCTGGCCTGCCACCCAAGGGCATAGCATCTCATCACCCTAGACCAGGCTCTAGAGCTCCCTGCCATGTGTACTGATCCTGGAAAGGAATGGGTGACCCTCTCTCTGGTGTCTGGGATATCGAGTTAATTTCTTCTGGGGGAATGAGACGCTGAAATAGATTTCTAAGAGGTTTCCCTGAAAATCTTTTAGAGCAAGAAAGACACCACAACTCTCTCCCTGCAGCAACAACTCTCCCTAGGTCCTCTATCCATCTAAACTGATTTTGATATACCTCTTTCTAGAAACAGGAGAAATGGACCAATTGACCACTTAGATTCTTTCCACCCGTAGGAGCTCACCATGTTGGATGATCTATGATGTAAGCTTCCCTCTGTGGGCAGACATCATTGAGAACAGACTGTATGGACAGGCCATGGTGGCATAAATCCAATAAGAGAAGCCTTCCACAGTTCAAGTTATTTTGAATTGGGGAGGGGGGAGGGATAGCAGCAATCTTAAATTTCCATCCCCACTCCCTCCCACCAAAAGTCAATTATTTTTTTTATTTTCCATGACCTCAGAGGATAATTGGGCTGAGCACCAACTTCTTGGTGCTGCCTCTCCTGATCTGGAATAGTGAGCAATCACCCCACACATACCTCTCAGCACACCCCTGGCCCCAGCAGTGGGTGGGAGCAGCATTGTACAGTGAAAGAGCTTTGAGCTTGGAGGTTCAGGAGACCTGGGCTCCAGTACTGACTGTCTGAAACTCTCTGGGCCTCACTGGATGATTGCCAAGATTCCTTCCAGCTCTAACACTCAGCTATTCAATGACACATCAATATAAAAAAAGTGATAGAGACTGGGATTTCATTGGCACAGAGACCTCTGGAGTGAGGAAATTCCCTCTACCAGGGCAAGTTGGCATCTTCTATGCCACTTAGAGTCTTAGGACCCTGAGAGGTTACGTGATTTATCCAAGATTACTCAGTCATTACATGTCAGAGGTGGGACTTGAACCCAGGTTTTCCTGGTTTTGAGACTGGGGCTGTATCCACAAATACTCCACTGCCTCTCATCCATGTAACATTAAAAAAGAAACACTTCCTAGTAGTGGGGCTCTTCTCTCTTTACCTTCACAACCCCATGCCCTGCAACCTGCATATGCATGTGCGTGTACATGCATATATGCCTATATATGTACATATATATATATATATATATATATATATATATATATATATACATATATATATATAGTTTGTTTTTAATAGGACTAAATGCCATTTACATAGTGGTTTAATTGTTCTCTTTCTTCCTTCCAAGGCTAATCCTCATGACCCTTCCTCACCCACAGGTCCCGTCGCCATAGCCGTATCAATACCACGCATCCGCCCACTGTGCTCAGTGGCTGGGGTACCCCTCCAAGCAGAGACTGGAACCACAGGGCTGTGTGTGGCTGCCCATACCACTGTGAAACACCTGAAGAACGAATAGGCTCTCGCCCACTCCACAGCATTGTCAACAGGTGGTTGAGGGGAGCCCCAGTGACTAAATGGTAATGGGGGAGGCTTGGCAGAAATCATAAGTGTTGAGCCAGATATTCAGACTAGAGAAGTTCTTTTCAGAGCTTTCTTCTCCCCACCTTCCCATCCCCACACCCCCTACCCTACAGGGGAAGATGGGGAAAAAGCAGTGGGCAATGTGGGTGCTGAACAAAAAGCACTGTCTGGAGACCAAGGCCAAAACCTTTCAATGGCTGAAGGCCTGGGAAATCTGAGCAGTTGGTGGGTGGAGGGAGGCTGCGAGTCCCCATCAGTGGTTCTTTCTTTCTCTAAATTGTAAGCTCTTAGAGGGCAAGGACTATTTAAGTTTTTTTGGCCTTTTTACAATGTACTGGGCACTTAATAAAGCTTACTGATAAATTCCTTGATGGAATTAGGAACCTGCTAATCCAGCTCCCTTCTAGTCCTCGGCCCAAAACTCTGCCATGAAAGAACCAAAGGAGCATAGATTTAGAGTTGGAAGGGACCTTGAAGGTGAAGAAGTTCAACCCCCTCATTTCACAGATGAAGAAACTTCTTTAGGCCTATAGAGGTTAAGTGATTTTCCTATGGTCATACAGCTAGTAAGTATCTCAGGCAGGTCTTCATGACTACAAATCCAACTTTTTATGCACGACACCATGCTGACTCTCTGATGGAGGATGGAAGCTGGAGAGCATTTTTCCTAAGCTGCCTGGATACTTATATGAGCTCTTTCTATGAATCCTGAGACCCAAGATCCAAGAACTCTGGAGACTGAAAATCATAGCTTACCTGGGATTGAGGCCTGTTCAGCCACTGACTAGCTGTGTAACTTTGGACAAATCACTTCACCTCTGTGGGCCCTGGTTTCTTCATCTAAAAATAAAGGATTTGGACTCAATGAACTCAAAGGTCTCTTCCAACTCTAAATCTGTAAACAGATGCACTCTGACGTCCCACGTAGCTCTGATATCCTGTGCTTTTTGCACCCAGGCAGCCATCTCGGGAGTCATCTGGCCTACCCTGCCGGCTCCCCTGCAGGGGTTGGACTCCAGAGCTTCAGCCTTCATTACCAAACCGTCACCACTTTCATTTCCCCAGTGCGACTGGGAGATCTCATGGAGCCCACTCCAGAGCAGGTACCAGGCAGGGCTGGTCCTGGGAAGGTGGGATGGAGAGGATAGGAAGTACCCTCCCCTCCCTGGACACTTCTACTGCGCACAAAATCCTATGAGGATACAGGTCTCCCTCAGCTGAGGGTCACCCTCAGCAAAAGTGGGAAGTAGATAAAGCTTATCATTGATTCCCTTTCCCACTGGTGCTTTGGGCCCCCATGATGTCCCCTGACTACCCAGGAATTCCAAAGGTGACACCCCAGCTAGGCAAGGCCTTTCTCATAAGTCATATCTTTCTTTCTCTTTCCTGCCCACCCCTCAAATCAAAGCTTCTCTATTTTATCTAGGTTCCATCCCTCAGACTCTCCTCTAGGTGACTATGGAAAGTAATGGGGGCATTTGTGCAGACAGACCAATCCATGGTTACATAAAACTAAGCTTTTTTTGCCTTGTCCTATGATTATACGCATATAGAGAATTTCCCACGTGGAAACTTTTCCCATGATGTAGATAGGCAGCTCATTGGCCAATGCCAGTCTTAGAAAGTTGCCTAGGACACTGAAAAAAAAAAACATAGCGTCAAAAGCAGGACTAGAATTCAGTTCTTCTTGACTCCAAAGCTGGCTTTCTGGTCTGCCTGTTGCTGAAAGCTGAAGTCAGTTAAAATACACAGATCTCCAATATGGGTGGTAGTACTTTCACTAGTCAGTCCAGAGGATATTTGGGAGGGAAGGAAGCTTTTATTAAGCACTTACTCTATGCCAAGCACTGTGCTAAGTGCTTTAAAAATATATCACATGATCCTCACAACCCTGTGAGGTGGGTATTATGATCACTTTATAATTGAGGAAACTGAGGCAGGCAGAGGTTAAATGACTTACCCAGGGTCACACAACTAGTAAATATCTGAGATTGGATTTCAACTCAGTTTGGCCTGACTTCAAGTCTAGCACTTTATCTACTGTGCCAATTAGCTGACAAGCAGATCTTTCAGTGCACACCAGATTTTTTTTTTTTTTGCTTTTTGGCTAGGCAGTCAGGGTTAAGTGACTTGCCCAGGGTCACACAGCTAGGAAGAGTCAAGTGTCTAAGGCCAGATTTGAACTCAGGTCCTTCTGACTTCAGGGCTGGTGCTGTATCCACTGCACCACCTAGCTGCCCCGTGTGCACCAGATTATAGGCAGTTACACAGGGCTGCCCTCAATTCTGCCATCTGTCCACCCTCACTTCAGCAGTGTGGTAGACAGAATGCTAAAGTTGGAGTTAGGAAAGCCTGATTCAATCTCAGGCACTTACCAGTTGTGTCACCGTGGGCAAATCACTTAACCTCTCTGTTTCTCAGTTCCCTTATCTGTAAAATGGGTATGATAATAGTAACTACCTCCCAGGGTTGTTATCAGCATACTATTTGTAAAGCACTTTGCTAACCTTAAAGGGCTATATAAATCCTAGCTATTATTTATGTATGGCACAAACCCTAAAGCCTAGGGTAGTGTGGGGTGGGGGGAAGGAAGGAAGATGCCCCATGCACTTATCCTGTAACACATTTAGGAAGCCGTGGGGTCTACCGAGTGCAAAGCCCAGGGCCCGAGTGCCCCCCACTCCCATCCAGACTGGGAGCATATCAGACATCTTGCCAGACTCCACAAGCAGATGGTGAGAACCCTGTGGGGGGGGGGGTTGGAGGGGTGAGGGAGGCAGTTGGATATCTGCCTTGTGAACTCAGAGGGAAGCTGCAATCTTTATACTTGGCCTAATGAGTAAGGATTCGTAGTGGCCTTTGCATCCAGAGGCTCTGTCCTATGTGTGGCCTGGCAGCCTGGGGCAGGGTCAGTTCTCTGAGGAGGTGTTGTTCAGCTCTGCCCAAACCAAGCCACCGAATTTCAGAGTTGAAAGAGGCCTTGCAGGCCAGCCTGCCACTCCATAGCTGAACAAGGATCCCTTATATCATGTTCCAGGTGGCCTATACCCTCCACTTTATCAGCAGCCTGCATCTTCTCGTCTCTTCCGTATTCCTCCTCGCTATACCCACTATCGGGTACCTCAAAACTATCCAGAGCATCAATACTTTTATCCATCTTCATCTGAACTTCTGCCTTTTTCTCTCCCGTCTTCTCTTCCTCGCAGAAGGGCACTGGACTCTCAGTGAGGTAGGTGCCCTACTCCTCTCACCCCATCTCCCTGCCCTTCCCTATGGCCTCTGATGGTTTTTTCATCTCTGCCCTTCCAAATGATGAATCTGACTAGGTTTTTATTCAAGACAACTCTTCCCAAATGCCTAAAGCCCAAATTAAGCCAATTTTTCCTGTACTCAAAACTCAGATTACCTTAACTCTTAGAATACCAAGGTTTAGTTGCTGGGCATAGTTGTGCATTCCTATCATATCTGCTAACAATGAGGCTAAGGTTGGTGGATTGTTCAGAGCTGCAATGGACTAAAGCCAACTGGGCATTTGTATGGGTTCCAATATGAAGAGCCTCTGGAAATGGGAAGCCACCAGACTGCACTAGCCTAGGTCAGAAAATGGGGCGTGGGATCAAGCTGGTGAGAGGCTGCTGTGCTTCCAGTCTTGGGGGAGGGTGAGAGAGAAAAGGAAGGAAGGAAGGAAGGAAGGAAGGAAGGAAGGAAGGAAGGAAGGAAGGAAGGAAGGAAGGAAGGAAGGAAGGAAGGAAGGAAGGAAGGAAGGAAAGGAGAGAGAGGGAAGGAAGGAAGGAAGGAAGGAAGGAAGGAAGGAAGGAAGGAAGGAAGGAAGGAAGGAAGGAAGGAAGGAAGAGAGGGAGGGAAGGAAGGAAGAAAGGAAGAAGGGAAGGATGGAAGGAAGGAGGGAAGAAAAGAAGGGAGGAAGGAAGGAAGGAATACTCAGACCCAGCATATTGTTGTCTCTGCCTAAGCCCACCTTCCTGGGGCTTACCTCTCCTTGGAATCTTAGGATATTCCCCTGTTTCTCTTTACACCTAATCATGTTTTTCCAACCTGTCTCCACACTCAATCCACATTTCCTCAATCTCCACAGGATTTATGACTTCCCAGGTACCATAATTGAGGATGGATAACTGAGAAGGCTGACACCTTGTACCTGAGCAGATTTTTTAAGAGTACCCTATTCCCACTGCTGAATTTCCTAGTGCCGCCTTCCCCTAGGCAAGCTCCAAGGGGACAAAGGAAAAACAAATCACAGTGACTGCTCATGGAGAAGCTTCTGCTTTAAAAATGTACAGAAAGTCCCTTTCCCTGGAGAATTCCATTGCATTTTCTTACCTGGTAGAAAAGACGCTATATCAATGTAGGGTTTAGAGGGATTGATATTTGTTCTTGGTCTAGAGAAGTTACAAAGAGGAGTGTGGTACGTGAGATAGGAAGATAAAAAGAAAGCCTGAAGGAGAACTTTGATCCAAGAGTAGAATAATGTGATACCCCCTGAGAACTGCAGAGATAGTCATGAGTACATTAAATGACCAAGTGGGAATCAGCTAGAAAAGGCTTCAGAGCGAAAAAGAAAAACCTCCAACGAGAATGTCAAGAGACATAAATGGAAAGGGTCTGGGAAAGATGCTAGAGAGGATTCATCTAGGACAGAAGATCTAACCTGGGGTCTGCAATTTTTTTTTTCCAATTAGATAGCTATTTCAACATAATTGATTTCCTTTATAATTCCTTTGTGAAAACATTCCTCTGAGAAGGGGCCCGTAGGCTTTACCAGACTGCCAAAGGGGTCTGAGTCACAACAAAGATGAAAGGTCCCAAAGCTAAGAGCAGAAGCGTTTACAGTAACATGGGGTTAGGGTGGCTCCAGAAGAGCACTACCTATCCAAAATTACAGGATGCATCTAGGCCAGAACCATGAAGGGATTAGCTACCCTAAGGCCCCAGACTAAGGAGGTTGAGTAGGGATCCAGGTTGGAACTGTTAGGTACCAGTTGACTGTGTCCAGCTGGTTTCAATAATAAGCTAACATATCTAATTTGCATATCATTTGCCCCTTCCTGCTAACCCCCCTCCCCCCAAAAAAACCACTTGAAGTAAAATAGTCCTGGTATTCTAAATCACTGTCCCAGCATTCTAAATTTGTGCTCTTCTGGAGACCGGACAGAGAAGAGGTACAGTGGGAGAGTAAGGGGAAAAGACAGAGCACCAAGGGCAGTATCTGGAGCAGAAGTTCCTGGTCCCCTTGAGTGGTGGCAGCAGTGGCAGAGGACCACCCCTACCCCTTTTGCCTATGGTAGGGGTAGGGAAAGTAGGTCTGTCTCAACCTCATAGAAGGGTGCCTAACTCCTCTATCATCTCCTCACCAGGCCATGTGCATCATGATCTCCTGCATCCTTTGCAACTTGGCCCTGGCTACCTCTGCATATTCCTGGGTAGGCTCTGTTTCTACCTGGCCTCCTGGAGCGTCAAGGTGATCAACTGTCTCAACACCATCCAGCTTTTCAAGAAAGTGCTGAATTTCTTTGGTCATGGGACGCCTGCTCTGTACATAGGTTTATTTATTGTCATCCAGGCCCATGACATCAAGAATTATAACAAGTAAGCGTTGGGGAGAGGAAGGATTGATTGGATCTGTGCTCTGGAATTTCAGAGCAAACCCTGAGCTGGCATTGACCAAGACCCTATAATCTGTGATAACTGGTAGACCATAAAACTAAATACGACTCATCCCATAAAACTAACCATAAAACTAGTCAGTAAGTAAAGTAAATAAAGCTAGTAAAGCAAGCCAAACCCATCTGACTGGGAAGTGGGATAGTTAGTTCATGACTAGACAGATTAAGCTAGCCAGAAAATGGCTAGAAAGGCACGCTTTCCCACCCAGAGAGAGGAAAATTGAAAACTGACATTCTATTCCTTCTCCTAACTATCCCTCCCCACCCAAGACCGATCAGTGTTTCCGTGTCTAGCCAAGACCTTTCCTTTCCCAAACCTTCCCTTTCCAGATTCCAAAATGCCCAAGGCTCTCAGGCTGCCATTTTCAAACCATCATTGTCCTTGCGAGCTTTGGCATCATGTTTCTTTTTTCCCTCAAGTGGTCCCTAGGCACCATTTTTCTTCTTCTTCCCTTTTCTATTGCTATGCTGAGGCTCTTGACCTCTGGTGTTCAAATGTTAAAAATGGGTTCACTCAGCCTGGAGGCTTAGAGGTCTAAGAAATAGGTGGTCTGCCCAAGACTCCCAGGGATAGCTGTCCTTTGCTTCTCTCTAGCTGTTGGATCAACCCCATCAAGGACTCAGAATGGATCTTTGTGAGTCCCATCTGTGTTTTAATAATGGTGAGTGACACCCCTTTGACCTGGCCATCTCCTCCATCTCGAAAACCACAGTGAATCATCTCCCAAGCCCTTGGCTTATTCTATAGTCAGAGGGCTTGAGTCCAAATCTTGCCTCTAATGCTTACTAGTTGGGCAACCTTAACCTCATTTTTCATGGCCTCAGTTCCCCATCTGTAAAGTGAGGGGTTAGACTAATTAGCTGCCAGGTACCTTCCAGCTCTAAGATCTATGATCCTAAGTGGGGAGATATAGTCTCTGGGCTCTTCTCTGAAAGGGGGAGTATATGACATCTTATGCCAAGTTTAAAGGGGGAAGACATAATGCCCAGGCTTGGGGAGAGGTTGACAGTGTGGAGGATTCTTAGGGAGGCAGGTGCAGCACATACTCTGCTAAAGACACAGACTTCTTTCTATTTAAGGATACCACTGTCCTTCTGGTCTCTTAGATTCAAGACCTCAGTGTCATTATTATTGACTTCTCATGCTTGCTCATTCCACATGTCCAAAAAATTGCTGTATCTTAATCCTACCTCCATAATATCTCTCTCGTCTGTCTCCTCCTCTCTTCCCACACACCTACCACCCTAGTTCAGGCCCTGATCACCCCCTAGGACCACCACAATAATAACCTAATTAGTCTCCCTGCCTCAGGTCTTGTCCTACTTCCATCCATCCCCCATACAGCTGCCAGAGTGGTTTTCCTAAAGCACAGATAGGGCTAGGTAACAACTATTTACCTCTAGGATCTTATATAAACTAATCTTTTTGACATTTAAAGCTCTTCACAAACTAGCCCCAAGCATCCTCACTGCCCTTATTTCATGTTACTCCCCTTCATTCACACTCTGCTCCAACCAAGTTGGCCACCTTACTTTTTCTCATATGTGACACTAATTCCTGTTTCTCTGCCTTTTCATAGGTAGCCCACATTCCTGGAATGTTCTTCCTTCTCTACTTCCATTTCTTGGAATACTAAATTTTCTTCAAGGCTAAGTTCAAATGCCACACCTTCCACAAGAAACTCTTCCCAATTCCTCTAATTTCGAGTGCCCCCCAAATTACCTTGTATCTATTTTGTATATGTACATGTGTACATATCTTTTACCTGTAAGCTTCTTGAGAGCAAAGACCATTTTACCTTTTGTCATTGTACAGTGCCTGGCAAAGAGTAGGTGTTTATGTGGCCAGACCTGTAATTCCAAAGGTCCAGTGAGGAAACCCCCTTCACCAATGTAGATCTACACTGTTCAACAATTTCTAGTCTGAAACTGGGTAGCATAAATTTTTAACTGGACACTAATAAAATTTAGAGCAGCAATGGTCCAACTGACACCAAAACAAAAACAAAAGTAACCTACAAACTTCTGGCTGCCCAGCAGGACATTGAAAGTTGAAATGATTTACCTAGGGTCACACAGCCTCTGTGTGTCAGAAATGAGACATGAACCCATATTTCTACCACATTCCACCTATCTAAGAAATTTCACAAAACTTAAAGCTCTATATAAATGTTAGCTACCTTATCTATTCCTTCATTTATGAGAGAAAGTAGGCCACAATGAAAAAATCACTGGACTTAGAATCAGTGCTGTATTCAAGATGTTACCCCAGCACTAGTTATGGGACCTTGGACAGGTCACCTAATCTCAAATGAAGAGGGTGGGGCAGGATCCCGAGGTTCTTTACCCTCTCCATATCCATGACTCTTTATGAAATGCCATCTTAGAATGGGTGTTATTTTACAGTGACAACAGTAAAAGAAACACTCATTGCAGAAGCCAAGCCTATCATGCAATAGACAATAGAAGCAAAGAAAAGGAAACTATTGCTCCCAAATATATGGGGAGGTCCAGGCCCTTTGCCCCAGCCCATGCCAGAAGAATTCTAATCCTTGGTAGGTCTTCAATGGTATTGAAAACAGTGTGACCTAGATCATAGAGCTAGAAATGGAAGGATCCTTAACAGTCTTCTAGTCCAACTTTCTGATTTTACAGTTGAAGAAACTGAGGCCTAGAGAAATAAAGTGACTGGCCCCATGTAGGTAATAAGCCTCACAGCTCGGCTATAAACCCAGGTCTTCTGACTTCAGGATCAGTACTCTTTTCATGTTCTCTTCAGCCTCAATGCCTGATTTCCTTTTGAACCTATGGATTTCAGCTCATTTTGTACTAGACCCTCGTGAGTTCTTATCCTGACAACTCCAAGGGTAATCTGGGACAGATATGAAGCCAGGTTTCACTGGATAACTGGCAGGGGTCTTCCCTCTTCCCCAGACACAGAGAGGTCAACACCATTTTCAAGGATCTGGAGTTTAGATGCCCAAACACTCCCTTCTATGGAGCATCCTGCAGAATCAGCAACTTCTGAAGGGTGAGAGGGGCTATGACTGGGCAGGCTTAGAGGGTCTGAGGTCTAGGGGTGGAACCCACTTGAGTCAACCACTCTACATACCCCTGTGGCCCCTATACTCTTGAAATACTCAGTAGGTATTGTCTAGCCAATGAGGTGGGGTGTAGCTACATCACGATTTGGAGCCAGAGGAAACAGTGGGACAGAGGGACTTGGCGTAGGGCGGAGGTTCCAGTAAGAACCAATCAGAGCCCAAGGAGGCTCAGGCAAGGCAAAGACGCCCAGGAGGGTAAAGAAGACAATCACGAGCATGAATTCATGGCCCAAGATTCTTCTCCTCTTAGGTTTAGTTGGAACCCTGGCCTCGTCGTATCAACAAAAACATCAGCAACCTCTCCTCCCGTGTCGTTCTCCACTGAGGGCACCCTGGGCAAAAAAGGAGACTGGCCATTTCTAAATGGGGGAGAGGAACAGATAGGCCCAAGTCATGACCATAGGAAGTGGGTGTACGAGGTCAGGAGCAGCACCCACTTTTTACCGTCACTGAGACAGGTAAGTCGACAGTAAGGGTGGCATAAGCTGGACCGAGAGAAGAAGACACATCTGTTGCCCCATCTCTCTCCCCTTCTGAAAAGAGAAAAAGCTCTGGGGGCCTGGCTTGAAGATAGTACCGTAGCTCTAGGTCCCTTTCCTGGTTCTCTGCCCCCTGAGAATGTCAGGGTAGGGAGTTACCTGTATCCCTAGGAGATCCAGGAGAGAGGGGTGGCAGTCCCATGGCATACACAACCTCAAACGAGGCTGTGAGATGATCTCTAAACTGGTTTCACTTCACCACTTTCCCCCTCCACCCTCCTGATGCCGTCTGTTGCCTCTGCCATTTTAGTTAAAGGCCAAGATCTGTTACCTACTCCTGTGGAATAGAGACTTAGATGTATTTTCATTTGCCCCGGGCCTGGTATCCTGCTCAAAAGTTCCTCCAAAGACAGCTGAGTAAGACCCAGAAGTCTTCTTGCCAGGCCAAGGGAGGCTCCCAGCTGCCCCTCAATGGTTCCATCCCATCAAGATCTCACCCCCACTACCAGCAACAGGTCTTCTCTCATTAAATTCCTCTTGACTCATGATGCAGGGCTGTGCTCTTCATAAAGTTTCTCCTCCAGGTCTGAACCTTGGAGGTACATGCTTATTTTAAGTAATCTCACTGAAAATGTCCCATCTTTCTGGCCCTTTTCTTAATCATCTAATTTCATTTTCCCTAGTTCTATTCCTCTGACCCCATGACACTTCCAGGCTCAACTGGGGCCACAAACTCCATGGCACATCTCTGGCAACAGGAAAATCTGAGGATGAGAAGTTGTACTGAAGTAACAATGAGCCAAAGGAATCTGGCTTTGACGCTGATCCTTTTCTAAATGAAGATCGTCACCCACCAATTAGGCCCCTCAGTCTTCTTTTGCCCCCTTGCAAAGGACCAAGGCAGCCCAGCTGCTGAGTTAGACACACCCATGATCTTCCACTGCCCACCCTTGAAAATGTGCAGGTTATAGAGGCCACAGAAAAGGTCAGAAGGCAAGGCTCTGTTGCATAAGGGATACTTTATTAAGGACTTTATTCGGAGGCACCAAGTTTTCTCTCTGAGACATGGTCTAATCAGTGGGGTAAAGTGGGGTGAGGCTGGCTGAATTCAATGTCTTTGTTAGATCGCTGTGGCCAACCCCACACGGTTGTTGGCCCTGTCAAAGACGCTGTAGTATTGTCGGATGAAGACATCTCCCAGGATCCACAGCGAGGAATAACTATCCTCAAAGCCACTGGTACACTCTCCATCGTCCTAGGGAAGACCAAAATAGCACTCAGTGGAGGTGGTCTCTGCCTCATTCCAACAATAAGTAAGGCCTTGCACAGTCACAAGGGATTCTTCCCCCACCACCCTAATCCTTCATAGCTATCACCATAGTGATAACTCTGAGCCAAATAGGGCATTACCCTCCTCTAATTTAAGATGAAACCCAGAAACAGTAAAATTCATGAAAGCAGAGGTTGGACTACCCAATTAACTGATTCATTAAATAATTGAATATCATTAGTGACAGTATGGCATAAAAATGGAAGGCCTTATCCTTAGGGTTGTTGTAAGGCCTGGATTTGCCACTGACTACATGTGTGACTTTGTGTAAGTCACTTCCTCTGATTCTCCATTTCCTTGTCTTTAAAATGGGAATACTAACAGCTACCTTACAGAATTTTTATAAAGATAAAATGACATACTCTAGGTGAAAGCTGGTTCTAAACTCTGGAGGGCTATCCAAATAAAGGGTCATAAGAATTGTCTGTCTGGTCCTATTCAATCCTCTCCTCTAGCCTGCTCATTCTTAGCTCTGATCAGACTAGCTTGACCAGCTGACCAGTGGAGGAGAGCCTGGTAGGCCCAAGACTGGGCTCTCCTGCTAGTATGTCGGCTACTGGGTCATGCCAATGTTAAATATAACATTTTACCTCGAGTCTGATGGCACAATGAGGGAGTAGGATCAGAGCCTACCACACACTTTCAAAGGGAAATCTAGGCAAAGGTGGAAGGGGCCAGAGGGGGAGGCTAAACAATGGGCAGAAGTTTAGATTTAGAGTTCAAATCCTGCCTCTCCTAGTGGCCTCCTCAAGAACAAGACCTAACACTTCCTAAATCCTTTCCCATGGTTCCCAAGCCCGGGCTGCTTTTAGAGTAGAGATGTAACAACTCACATTTCTACAGTGCTCTAAGGTTTACAAAGCACTTTCCCCACAACAAAACCATCAAATAGAAGTGTCACTATCATCCTATTTTACAGATGAGGCAACTAAAGCTCAGGGGGCACAAATGACTCGCCCAAACCACAGAGCTAGGAAGTAGCAGAGTCAGGACTAGACTCCAGACTTCAGATTTCCAAATCCAGTACAGGTTCTACTATTCCATACCACAAAGGCAAGAAACATCGTGTCCGTTCAGGTGGCTCAACGAATCCCACTTGACCAGTGCATGTCCAAGCCACCTCCTTGTGACCGATCTCCCAGAGTTCCAACCCTTCCCCAAGAAGTTTCTCCCTACAAGGTTCCTACCTGAATGGTGTAGGCTGAGGGAGGGAGAGGGAACTTCTTGCCGCGGATATGAATATCAACTGAAGGCATGGAGCTCAGTTTGTTGCAATTGATGTAATACTGAAAAAAAAGCCCAAGTGGATTTTCAGAGAGAGAGGTAAGAGCCCTCCCACCAGAGAGTAAGAAAAGGGGAGCCTGGGGTGGGAAGGAAAGCCTGGAAAAACATCTGGGGCCAAGAAAGCCTGTGAAGGGTTTGGTCTGGAGGTGAGACTGTGACCTATTAGAATCATAAAGATCCTTCTGCCACTCCCAGGAAATGGCCCGACTTCTAGACAAGAGCCTCAATGAAAGGGGCAAACCCAGCTAGAAATTCTAGCTCAGGACAAAGGCTTTACTTTGGCCTTTGGAAGCAGACCGTGACAGCAGGTAGGGCCGGCGGTGGACTTGTGGGAGGGATCCTGGACGTGCTTTCCAGATAGGGGGACACAGAATCTTGGGTATTTTTAATGCCGACAAACTCCCCATAATGCTTGAGGGCTGGGGGAGGGGGGTGGTACTTAAGAAAGTGTGGCACAGTGGGATGGGAGGAAGGTGGGGTCTTGGCACAAGTGCTTGGGGTCTAAGCATTTAAATTTCTATTACAGAACAGAGGATAATGCTGAGATAATTTCCACTTAGCCTGTATATATCTTGCATGTACACAGTTTTAGCGTGTTGTCTCCGCCATCAGGCAGTGAGCTAATGAGGGGAGGGATATTTTTGCCTTTCTTTGTATCCCTAGTGCTTAGCACAGATAGTGCTTAATAAATGCTCGTTGACTGACTGACTGACTGACTTCAGAGCTCAGGAGATAGATACCAATACTTCCAATAAATCCCCTTTTCCAGTCTTCCTGGTTTTTATACTGACTAAATTTCTTTGGTGAGTGTAGATAACTGAGAACTGATTCTTCTCCAGTTAGTAAGGAGCTAATGGAGATATCAGAAGAATCTCAGAAGGCTGAGCTGGGAGACTCACCCCGTCAGTAACTCCAATGGCTTTCTGGATGTTGACAACGCCATGATTTGAACCGACCAACAGAGAGGTGCCAGTATCCAAGATGGCCTGGCAACCACCATCACAAGCCACCACCTTGTTGTTGACAGTGATTCTAGGAGAAGTCAGACAAGCTGCTTAGCTCAACTTTAATCTTATCTGCTTCTCCTATGAAGATCAAAGAGTATTTGTTGGTTTTTGAAACAGTGCCCACACCTAGAGCTGAGACCCAGAGAAGAAACCAAGGAAAGAAAGCCAGCTTCCTCTACAGACTTTCTTTCCTTTGGATAGCAACGCATTTCAAGTTGGGGCTGGCCTCCAGCAGGTTGATTATGGTCTATGGGCCAGTCTCAAAGCTGAACCACCAGTCACTGCCACACCTTTGGAAGCAGGAGGCATACATACTCTTAACACTAGATTATGTATTATCCTATACTAGCCTTTACAGCTGCAGCTAGGTGGTACAGTGGATAGAACACAAGACTCAGAAGACCTCAGTTCAAATCCTACCTCACATATTTACCATCTATGAGACCCTGGGCAACTCACTTAACCTCTGTCTGACTCAGTTTTCCCATCTATAAAGTGGAAATAATAATAGCACCTCCTAGTGTGGTTGTGAGGGTAAAATGAAATAATGTTGGTAAAGTGCCTTGCAAACTTTAAAGTGCTGTAAAGTTGTTAGCTCTTATTATTAGGTTTTTTTAGCTTTAGGTTTTGTCTGACCTGTGGATCTTGTTTCTTATTAACTCCTTAAAGGCAAAGATCACATCTAACAACTTTTTTTTGTATTTTCTGTCGTAGCTTGTACAGTGTTGAGCATGTCACAGGCACTCATAAATATTTATCAAAAGATAAAAAAAACTACCAAGCTCTTAAATGCAGTCATGTAGTCATGATGCAGATGTGAAGGTGAGAAAGGTGTAAAATACAGATGGAAGCAAAGCATATGTTACTCTGGACCAGAAATTATCAAATTCTAATTTGGTGATATCTTGAAGTATTTGAAAAACTCTCAAATTACTTTTAATTTACTGCGGATGAGCCATAAAGACTGTACTTTGAGTCAGAAGAGTTCTATGGGATCAAAGAGTACCAGATTGGACAAGTCCCTTCACCTCTGCAAGCCTCAGTTTCTTCATCTGTAAAATGGGAATGACAATTCTTGTCCTATCTGTTTCACAGGATTGATGGGAGGATCACTTTCCATAATGTATGGTAATGTAAGGAGTTATAGTTACAAAGAATAACATAGAGAAAAGTCACTGCTCTGGGCCAAGTTATGAAATAAATGAATAAAGAAAGTGGGGGGAGAAGGAAAATTTTATGTAACTAGTGATGTCTTATAATTGCAACCAAACTTAAAAATTGGGGAAAGGGGTTCTTTTTTTGCTGCTGGCAATGAATAATAAGTAAAATCACAATAAAAATAAAAATATCTTATTCAAACATAATGTTGCCTTGAAGAGTCTAATTTAATGCTAATAGGAAAGGCCTATAATAATGGCTCTCTTTTTGTATGATACACAATATAGGTGTGTAATTATTGTATAGTAATTATACAATATACAACATTTGTATGGGACTTTGCCATGTAAAGGATTTTCACATGTATGATTTCACGTGAATGTCACAACCCTCTAAGGCAAGCTATCAGTCCCATTTTACAGATGAGGGATCTGAGCTCACACAACTGGTTAGTGCAGGGCTGGGAGTCAGATCTCCTGGCTTCCTATCCTGTACATGTTCCTCTAAAGTACAATGTCCTAGGACTTTGAGTTTCCTTCTACACTCTACAGTCCAGCTTTCTTGCTTCTCCTCACATACGACCCTCTGCTTTTGAGCTGCCTGGTCCCCATGTACTCCTTTCTCACCTTTACCTTAGAACCCTCACTTCTTTCAAGACTCAGCTTGAGCATCACCACTTTTACAAAGCTTCTCTGCTAGTGTCCTCCCTGCCTAGCCTACCTTGTAATAATGTTCTATCTATTCTGTATATCCTTATGTACATTTCTTCTGATAGAAAGTGAAGCCCTTGAGGGCAGGAAGTCTTTGTTTCCTTAGCACACAATATTTGTTGATTAATTCGATGGGGCCTTGCATCAGAAGATGCTGGTTTTATTCTGAGCCTAGTCTCTGACGGGGAGCCTCGGACCACTTACTTACTTGTCCACATAGAACTGCCAATAGCCCCGCTCAGTGACAGGGATCCAGTGAATGGAGCCAGTGTAGTAGGATGGGTCGATGGCCCCAAGGATGAGCATGCTCTTCCGATTATCCCTGAAATGAGAGAAGATCGCACTGATCTGAGCAACTCCTTAGCTCAAAGTAAAAGATATCTGTAGGACCCCAGCTTCTGGTGGTCTATGATCAGGCTATGCCAGCTCTCCAGCCTCCCATTTACCGGTATCCATTCTGCTGCCATCACTCAAGGAAATGGGGTTTCTGTTCCTCTGAGACGCCATGTAATGCAATGCAGAGAGCACTTGAAGTCAGGAAGGTGTGTTTTCAAATCCTGCTTCAGTCACTAACTGTGGAATCCCGGGCAAGTCACTACAGTTCTAGCCTCAGTGTCCTCATCAGTGAAATGAGGTGACTGGATCTGATGGTCTCTAAGGTTCCCGTGCAGCTCTAAATCTATGATGCTATGACTGTGGAGACTCTCAGCCATTAATACTCCTAGTACCCTTCCTAAGTGGTTGACCTTCGTCTTTGTCATGCAAAGCTGTTTTACAAGAGTGTAAGGGCATAGAAGAGTAAAAGTACGTATGTGTGGGTAGTTTGTTGGCACACACGTCCTCCTGACCTACACAGAGAGATTCAGTTGGACAGAACATTCAAGATGTCAAGTTGCTTCCCTCAGGCTTCATCCCCATCCCTTGGGGACACCCAGTTCTATTTGCCGGGCTCCAGGCATGATCTCTCGGTTTCAGATTAAAGCTATATCTTCCAATATGCCCTTGAATCCCAATATGGGAGCTCTAAATTCTCCTGGAATCTATCTCACACCCAGGAATGTGCTCATAAATATCTAAAAACTGAGTCTCCAAAAGGAAAAATAAGGCACACACTTGTAAATTTTATCTGCAATTTTTACATTTTCCCAACACATTCTTAAGTCTAAACAATCAACAAAACAATTAGCCCAGCTCTGATTTGTAGCATTTGCTGATTTCTGAAGTATAAATGCCCACACTGAACATTTTACAATCAACTCTCTTAAGTTAATCAGAGCTGATTCCAGCACACCCCTACAGTCAATCACACCTCTCCAGCAAGGCTCTCTTCCCTACGCCCTTTTCCAGGAAAAAGTCCCCCCAGTGGGGAGGCTTATTCCCTTATCTTGGGTCTTTTTGGCCCAGAAAGTACTTCTTTTTGGCTGCCCACTGTGATGTAGGCCTGCAACCTACATCAAATCATCTCTGCTTCTGCTTTTCTTTTTCTGTACCCTGGCTACCATGAATTCCAATTATTCTATTGCATATTGTACATTCCTGAAGTTTAATTTTGTGTGTAGGAAAGACTTTCCTGTATATAGGGAAGAAGGGAATCTAACTTTAACTGCTGCATTTTTTTAGGGAATGCTCAAAAATCCCCAAGTTCCTTTGATGTTGTATTCTTCTAGTTCCTCCCACTACTCTCTTTTATCTGTAGCCTTGTTCCTGCCATTCTTGGAATAGTGGGTCCTAGTCTATCCCTATTTCCTGTTAATTTTCTTCATCATGACCAGAATTTTCATCGCCAACAACAAATGTTTAATGAATACCTTTAAGTATGGCACAGTGTTAAAGACACTGGGGTGAGGGTGGTGGAAACTTTTTTGACTTCTAGAAATGGAAATTAATCTCTGAATATCAGAAGTCATATATTTCTTCCACAATGGTTTGTACTTTCCACGTATGGTCTTATAACTAACTGCATGGCAACTGTTCCCAAAGGTGTTCTCAAAGGGAATGGAAGAAGGGGATCAAAAATGACAATGAAGAGGGAGCCCCTAAAATCCTGGTTAAGGATTCACAGCAAATCAATTACATCTAACCCCATCTGAAAGTGTCACTTACCCACTTAGATAAACAGAGAAGAGGTCGTGGGCGACCAAGTGCTTTTTCATCATGTGGTCAAACACAGGGGTGGCATCATCCGCAGATATGGAGGGGTAGCCCAGTCCTAGGATCCCATCAAATTCAGCATAGATAAAGAACTCACCAGGCTCCTGGGTGCTCAAGCCAAAGATCTGTTCAGGGTCTACGATATCGGAGACCTAGATGGGGACAGAAGGCAATCAATCTGTGTCTGCCCACATCCAGGAGAGGTCCCTGGCCTGAGTTAGCCCCAGTGAGGGCAGAAGGAGCAGCACTTGTGTCAAAATTTCTAACTCTGCTGGGACCACTATGGAGGTCAATAGAACACGCGAGCACTTTGACAGCAGTGAAGAGAGTGGAACAGCGGCCTGATGTCCCTGAAAGTCTATCTAATTACCTAGCATCCTGGAAACTGCCCTGATGGGAGCCAAATAGACTCATGAGCCAGCAGTGGGTCCGCATAAGGGAAATTCTCCTTACTAATGCCTTCTGTGTTGACTTGTTGAATTTGATAGACTTGGAGAACAGGAAAGGGGTAAAATGAGAGTGGAGGAGGAGGAGAAGGAGAAGGAGGACAACAAGTGTGTTTGCTGAAGGCAAGTCCTGGTGTTCTCAGGGGAGAGAGAGAGAGAGAGGGAGAGAGAGAGAGAGAAAGAAGCGCCTAGCCAGAGGAAGGGATGAGGGAGGCAGGGAAGGGCCGTGTTGTCCCAGAATTGGTACCACCTAACAGGGCCAGATCACTTTTCTAACCCAAACTGGTGTTCCCCCTCCCCCTCCTCCTTCCTCCATCCTCTACTCTCCTTCATCCCTGCCAGTCTCAGCTTCCTCTGGCCAAATGAGACTTTCGAGGAGGAGACACAACACCTAGGGTGTCTCTCCCCAGCCTTCCCAGGTGGGTGGATGTGTGGTAAAGGAGGAGCTGCAGCTGCTGTAATTGAATATGACAACAGGCACAGGGTTGGTTTTTTTTATACTGCACCTAAAATAGCAAAGAAAAAAGGCAAATTGCTCCAGACTGCAAAGGAAGTAGAACACTCAGAAAGAGGAAATTAGCATTTCAAAGCCATTTAGGAGCGTATGCTATGCAGACCAGCACGGCCCTGGTGCTTCAGAAACCAGCTCTAGGTCTCAACTTCTGATAACTCACACTGGGACTCTCTTTGCTTATGCTCTGCCTACAGGGGATTCTCATGAGGTCAGGTGTATGAATATCTCCACCCAGTCAAAGCCAAAAGATCAGGCTAATAATGTCAGAAAATGAGGAGCTTTTGTGGGGTGCAAACTAAACTGGGCGTGGGCAGATAGCCATTCTTGGACACAAGAAGGAACTCTTTGAGTTCAAGGCGACATATTAGATTGGATGTCTGAAGAAGGGCTGCTACACCAGATAGAACCCAAAGGCTTTTTAGTCCAACCCATACTTGGTCCAAATGCCGTCACCAGGAGCAGCTAGGTGGTGCAGTGGATAGAGAGCTCTGGCCTTGGAGTCAGGAGGACCTGAGTTCAAATCCGGTCTCAGACACATAACACTCACTAGCTGTGTGACTCTGGGCAAGTCACCTAACCCCAATTGCCTTACAAAAAAAAAAAAAGACATGTTTGCCTTCATTGAGGTAAAATCTGCTTCTCTGAGACTTCTAGCCATGCTCCTAGTTCTGCTCTTGGATAACCCATTCCAGAAGGGCCAAAAGAAAAGGACTGCTGTCTCTCCTGGAAGGCATGAGACATTTATCTGCCTGAAAAACAGTTTTCCCATCTTTCTCTTTGATTCTAAAAGACTGTCTGCTCTCAACTCTATTTGCTTGCACTCATAGAATTATAAGGGACTTGCGAAGACTGAAAATGCATAAACCAGACTGGAGACGGGAAAGGAACAGCCAAGGAAGGGTGAAAGTGGAACTCTCCTATTATATCCCCATTTGACTGGTGAAAACCCAAACTCCCTGAAAGCCAAGGTATTGGATTATAGTGACAGTAGATCTGCCCTGCAGGTGACATAACTAGAAACAATCCCAATGGGAGGCCTAGTAACAGAAGAGTCTGGAAGGACTTTTGGCACAAGTAAGAAATCCTGGAACTGCATTTATGAGAGAATGTTTTGCTTCCCAGAAAAGATGGGAAATTGAAATAGAAAAGGCTGTAGGCAAAAAGGGAACTATATACAGAAGAGAACCACCAAGATGGTGAAGGGCCTCCAGTCCATGACGTAGGAGGATTGGTGGAAGAAACTGGAGATGTTTAGTGTGAAGAAGAAAAGGCTTAAGGGGCACATGAAAGCAGTCCTCAAGCATTTGAAAGGCTAGCAAGTGGAAACAGGGACTAGAGAAGGCCATACGAGGCCTCCAGGCCACAGGTTCCCCACCCATGTTCTTCCGTTTCCCTTAGGGAAGCTTCAAAGAAGCAAATTTAGGTTCAAGCTAAGCAAAATTTACCATTAATCAGAACTGGCCCAAGGTGGCCTGTGGCGCTTCTCACCCTCTCCCACCTCCCTAGAGGTATTTAGGCAAAGGCTGAGGGGGGCCTGTCAGATAGCTATAGAAAAAGATTTCTTTTGGGGCAGGACTTAGAACAGATGGTTGTGGAGGTCTATTCCAAATATGAAGTTCTGTGATTTTGATTCAGTGAAATAGAAACAGTAGGTGGGAAAACCATAACAAGGAAGGACGAGATGAAAGGATTTAGGGCAGATGGATATGGTGCCCCAGAGAAATCCCTGGTAGTGATGCTGAGCGGCTCTAAATGCTGTGCAGCTCAGTGGGAATGGTAGTTTTATTAGGAAAGGAACACCCCACAGAGCTCTGTGTGAGTTACAGTTCTGCAGGGGGACTTGGAGAATCAGTCAAGGAAACCTCACTCTGAATCCAACTCCCCCTTCCACCAGCCTTCTGGGTAGGCAGGACCAGACACCAAACAAAAGTGCTCCATGATTCCTGGAAGAATGGTGCTTGGCTCAGAAAGTACCCAATGGTCAGACCTGTCAGAAAGGGGTGGGAAATCCTCTGTTCAGGCCATACTCACAATGACAGTGTCATAGCCCAGGACTCCTTCCATGCTGCCAGTACCATACTCAATGGACAGAGGTTTGTCGGTGCTCCGGAAGGTGGAGGACTTAGAGGGAAAGAATCTGTGGTGGTTTCCTGAAACAATGCAACCTCGAGCTCAGGGGGCAGGCTGTGCAAAACTTTTCTACTTCCTATTACTGGATCAGTCAGTTAGTCCATTTGTTAAGTACCTGCTAAATGCCAGGCACTGTGTTAATCTCACCGACCCTTGAAAATAAGAACTAAAAACGTATTGGCTACTACAAATTAGTTCTTTCTTCCTCCCCTCTACTAGGTCCACAGAGAATCAAGTAAAGGGAATGATTCTTTCCTACTCCATTCAATATTCAGTTCCCCATCCCAGCCACACCCCTGCTCCCCATAACATAGTCAAGTAGCTTAGATAAGCTAGACTGGAGATTCTAAAGAAGACAAAATTCATCTACATCTGTCTTGCCTAGGGATAGTCCCAGTCTCCTGGGACTCTAGACCCCTGGACCATATAGGCAGCCTCAGCCCTAGGTGAATTGAGTTACTTACGGCAGGCGGCGCTCTTGCAGTAGACTGAGGGGACCCAAAGATTAGAGGAGCCAGTATCAAACACCACAGTGAACTCCTGGGGTGGGGTCCCAATGTGAATCTTTCCAAAGTACTCAGCCTGCAGACACAAGAATGTCACAAGTTGGGATGGTGACGCTAGGGTGGTGTATAGTCAGAGAAAGGGATAGAAGGAGAGGTTAGCTTGGATTTTCTGCCTGTACCTGAGAAGAATTAGAGATGAAGAGAAGAGAGAATGGCATCGTGAGCATCTCAGGGTCCTGCCTCTCCTAGGTGGCCTGGCGATGCTCTAGGGTCCAAGCACAGAAGGTTTCAGACAACTCATGTTGTCTGCGCCTAAGCCTACCTGCTGGCGAGCTCTCTCTGTGCCAAAGTTATAGGTTGGAAGGGGCTGACCTAGATACAGAAGTGGAAGAACGGACGCTGGAAAGCAAAAAGATTAGGGAAACCAGCTGAGGATAGGGACAGAAGCCCTGAGGAAGTTTCCACAACGGTGAGTGAAATAGGGGGAAGATGAGGGCCACGTTCCGGATAGATGGGGGGAGGAGGATCAAAGGTTCTCTACCTCCGCTACGAGCAGAACAGGAAAAATGGGTCTTTGCTACAACATGAAGGAGTGAGGTTAAGAATCAGGGGAAAAAATGCCAGTTTATGTCTGCCAAAAGCGTCCCTTCCTAGAAAGTGTTTCCAAGGAATTTTTGGACAGTTCCTTTTCTTGGAAGCATCAAGAGAGGCCTCAAGGAGGAATCAGTACCTGAAGTGAGCCTAGAAGGAAAACAGGGAGTCTGAGATGTGGAGATGAGAAGGGAATGAATGGATTCCAGGTAAGAATAGCTTATACATGGAAACAGAGGCAGAAAATAGAATATTAAATTCACAGAATGGCTAGTTTGTCTAGTATGGCTGGAATATAATGTTTGTGAGGGGGTATAGTAAGAAAAAAATCTGAAAAAAATAGTTGAGTGAGATTTTGGAGGGCCTTCAATGCCAGGCTAAGTTGCTTAGAGAAGTTTGGAGGAGGACATATGATAGTGAGCTCTGTTCGGGGCATGTTGAGTTTGAGATGCCTATGATGCCTCCAACAGGCAAGTAATAATGAGTGACTGGCAATCAGAAGAGATACTTTGCTGGATATGCAGATTTGGGAATCCTTCCCAGACTATGCCATGACCCAAAGGGATTCTCTGATTTCATGAGATGTAGAGAAAAGTAGAATGAGAGGGTACCAGGAGAAGCAGCCAAGAAAACTCAAGGGTAAGGTTCAAGAGCACTTAGCTACTGAGCAAAAAGATCCAGAAAACCAAAAGAAATAATGTATGTGAAGCACTTTGTAAACCTTAAAGTGTTATATAAATGGCTGCTATTATTATCATCGTCACCTCAATCATCTCATTATTTTTGATGAAGTTCAAATGAAAACAGATCTGAGCAAGTACCAACCTTGCTATTCTTGTTTATTCAATGTAGGTTCACTAAAAGCATCTTTGATAGAACTCCAGGAGCAGACAGAATGAGAGTATTATTATTATTAGCAAAGCAACTCACATCCAGGTAATTTGTCAAGCGCTCATCTGCAACCTTGGCAGTATTACCACAGCGCCCGTACTTGGATCTGGGGGAATGGTGGTAGTTCTTCAGAAAGTCTTCCAGCAAGCCATGCTCCTTCAACAGAGTTCTCAGCTTCTTCCCTTTGAACAGCGGCACCCTTTTGCAGTTGAAGAAGAGTTAGCTAAGTCTCTCTACTAGAATTGCTCAACCTTCCCCAAGAGGGTCAGCCAAACCCAAATTCTGAAGCTTCCAGGCCCTGGGGCAGTATATAGTTGTATAATGGGAAAAGCACTGGACAGAGAATCAGAAGACCTAGGTTCTAGTCCCAACTGGGCTATTCTAGCTACATGACCTTGGACAAGTTGTTTAAACCTCCCTGTTTAAACCTACCTCACAGGTAAAATGGGACAGTTGAACTATATTCTAGGTTATGTTATCTATATTATCTAAAGATATGTTTTTACCTACCATTTTGGCCATTGTGAGAATAAAATGAGGTACTAGGCGTAAAAGTCCTTTGTAAAGGTTAAAACTATTACTGATCAATAGCAATTTTAAAGAAAAAAATAAAATGTTGGTTACTTCTCTTTGTTCTTTCTCTTTGATTTATGTTTCAAAAGGAACTCATGTAGAACCGTCATCTCTGTTCTCTTCTCTGGCCCTTCACATGATTTCATAGATGAAAGGCCAGGGAATTGTTTCCAAATCCCTTTCTCTCAAACATAGCTGAAGCTAAAAGAGCCAAAAAAAAAAAAAAAGCAAGATGGTGGGAGATGCAGCCCAATTAGAAATTGGCAATTGTCCATGAACATGTTGGTGCTTTCTCCTGCAAAGCTGTCTCCTGACACATGGCATGGCAAAGGCTTTTTCCTGGATTTGGTCACTTTTCCGACCCTCTGGTTGTTTTCACTTTAGCCTCAGCTTTTTCATTCCCTAGTTCTTTTACTACTGGTCTCCATTTGACTCAGGAACTAATCTGGAATTGGGATGGCAGCTCCATTAGTTGACCCAGGCTCTGCTAAGAGCCTTCTGGGAAATGGAATGACAAACATGAACACCAACTCACACCAGAAGGAAAGCAGCATCTGGAAGACACTCTATAAACCACCCCAGAATGTTATTGCCTCAGCCTTTTATCTGACTTGGGTGATTTGATTAAAACATCTGTGGAGCTACCTCTGATGAAAGCCATTGCTTCAAAGCCCTGCCTGCAGCCCAATAGTTCTAGAGCCGCTGGATTCAATGTAAAGGAGATGCAGCATCAAGAATGTTAAAAAATGAAAGAACTATGGATTGTCTAAGACCTTCTGATCTTTCTCAGAGATCCTGCTTCCCCCTCACCCAAAGGAAGACCAGGCTTTTTCAAGTACTTGGTATCCAGCTGTGCTTCAGATCTGGTACCTGGGCATGCAGATAAGGATATTGGATATTTAGTCACAAAAAGGCATGTGAGAAAGAGAATTCATTCTTTTTTGTGTCTTGCCAGTCCACTGAAAGTTACATTTTAAGGAAGACTATAGCAAGATTTAAGGTGTTGAGACTAAAAGAGAAAACTGCAGAATTTCCTATCATAGACTTCTCATCTGTTAATGAGAGGCATCAGGCAAGCCCCCATCTCTGAGCTGCTCCTTCCCTTCTACCTGAAGTTTCTCTCCAGGGGATCCATTACACTGTGAGGCATCAAGACTTACTTGGTCACGCATTCAGAGAAGGTGATGATGGCAAGGAGGACCAGAAGGCACTTCATCTTGCTGCTTTGGTCAAACACCGCAGTTGGGGAAGTGCTAGCTACTTTCTTCTCTGCTCTGATCCCACTAGCTGTTTTTATAGAAGGGAAAGGATCCACCTCCAGCTAAGAGGTCACAGAGATCACCCCAGATTAAAGGCAATTCTGCAAATAGCCAGTAAGATCCCCCCACCTCCAAAGGCTGCCCCACACCTGGTCCTCACACAGAGCGATAAGGAAAATGAAATATCATCAGTTCCTAGAACTTCAAAGATAGAGGGAAAACACGATTGGACAACTTGTGGGAAGGAATGTCAACTTAGGTCCCTCTGATTTGCCTTTCATGTTCTAAACAGCTCTCCCCACTCCAGTGCACCTGAGGTAACCTATCAGAAAAGGGTTATTTGAAATACCATATGGTTGCAATGAGACTTGTGTTTTCCTCTACCTCACACTCCATGGCTCATAGGGAAAGTTTTCTCTGTTCAGGAATCTCCCAGCTTTGCCTTAATAGTTATGTTTGGTGGGACTTGACCTGCTGTTTAAAGTGGAAACTCAGGCATGGAGGGTAGCAGGGATTTACCCATAACCATATGAGATCATTCAGCCTAGCAGTAGTGACTCAAAGGGGGCTTAGTCTGCATAGCAAAGAACCAACTTTGTCCCTGTTCACAGAGAGCTTATAGGTGACATGAACACACACACACACACACACACACACACACACACACTCAGGCTCTGACTCTAAGTCCACTTGAAATCCTTTATCATCACCCCCAGTGTTTTCTTTTCTTCTGAAGAGACTGACTAGGGGGTTTAGAACAACACCATTCAGACCTGTCCCATTTGCCATGGCTTGTCATCATTGTCCCCAGTTATTAGAAACAAACTGTAAGGGGAGGGGGGGAGAGAGAGAGAGAGGGAGACAGAGAGAGAGGGAGAGAGAGAGAGAGAGAGAGAGAGAGAGAGAGAGAGAGAGGCACATGGATAGATAGATAGATAGATAGATAGATAGATAGATAGATAGATAGAAAGATAGCATTTATTAAAACTCTACAATGAGCCAGGTGTTGTGCTAAGCACTAGGGACATAAATATAATCAAGATAATCCCTACCCTCATGGAGCTGGATGAGAGAAAACCACACATAAAAGGGGGATCTGGAAGGGGAGCTTGAGGAAGAAAGCAGGCAGCAGTGAGGAGGAATACTGAAAGAGTCCAGGCATGAGGGAGGTGAAACATCGATTCCTTCCAAAAATGGCGGTCCCAGGAAGGAGTCACTTCTCAAGGGAGGAAGGCCTCAGAGCAGAGGGTTCTCCAGAATATCAGTGTCACAGGGGAGGAGGAGGAGTCCAGAGCATCCAGGCATGAGTGAGGGGTTAGCATAGAAACCCAATGTGCCCTGAATCTCACTATCTGAACTTAGGGGCTGACGTTCCTACCTCAATACCATGCTATAATCGCAAGATGACTTGTCTGAAAGCACATGGGTAGTAAGGCGGCAGACTTGGGATGTCTTCTCACCTCAAAGCCACTTCATCATGCTGCCACCCAAATGAGAAAGGCAGACAGATTTAATGAACAGAAACCTAGACTCTGAGTTCAGTCATTTTAAATGTGTTGAGAGGGGTAAAATAGGTAAGTCAGGAATTGTGACAGCAAGTCAGAGAATGGTGTGGGCTTGATCGAGGATGATATCCTGGAGTAAATGGTGTGGTATAAGACAAAGAGGAAAATTATGGAGATCTGGCAGGAAGGAATAGAGATCTTTATGAATGGACAATTTGGGCAAAGGCTTAGGGCTAATAGAAGAATATAGGTGAGGTATGAGATAGCACTGACTCCACTGACAATCTGAGGGGTGAGGCAGAAGAGAATGAAAAACAGAGGATTTCACTCATGAAGACCTTGGAGAACAAGGCCAAGCCTTTATGTTTGATTCCAAGGGCAACAGGGATCCATAGAAAGGCCATTACTGTTGGA